TTGGACCTAAAATATTAAGATTATTAGTAATTTATGATTGTTAAATTTTTTGAAAAATCAAAATAGAACTTTATTTTATTTATTAAAAAATTTATTTTTTCGATAAAAAAAAACTAAAGTATTATGGTTGAGTTGTTCTATTGCTAGAAATGTAAATTTTTCACTTTCTAACAAGAAAAGTTTTTTCATTTTGTGAATGTAGTTACGCTCAAAAGCAAAAATTTATTCATTTTCTTGAGGAGCATATAATCAATTTTTTTTGTTTCGTGGACAATAGGCTTTTTTTTAGACAAAATGACTTTAACAAATTTTTTTTTATTATATTTACTTATAGGTGGGTAAGAATTCCTGAAGTGGCCCCCTAATATTTTTTGTGTAATAGAAAAAAGTGATACCCACATATTTTGGTAGTCCATGATGTCACTAAAAAACCCCTGAAACGATTTTTCAAAATTCGAATTTTTTTAAAAGTTATAAACAATTAAACTTTTTTGCAACGTTTTGGAATATTATATGGAATATTATAATCGGGAACTCTCATGGAGTCTTGGTTGGCGCGCGGGAGATGCCGCGCCGTATGCGTGAGCTGCTCAGAAAACTCGCGCGCGTTAAGACTAAAAATTCTGTATCTTCTAAAGTTTTTGAGAATCCCACTTTTTTATTTTTGTCATGGAATCGTGAAAAGCCCCTTTTTATGATTCTATAAAAAAAATTGGAAAAATCGACTGAGAACATTGTTAATTTATAAAGTTAAAAATTAACAATATAATTTGTTTAAACAAATTATACTTTTTATTCATAATTTATTTATTTATCAAAAGTACGTATCTTAATCTTTCTCCAAATCAATTTTTATTAAAATCGGTTCGGCCAATTTCAAGATACAGAATTTTTTCCAAAACGTTGCAAAAAAGTTTAATTGTTTATAACTTTTAAAAAAATGCGAATTTTGAAAAATCGTTTCAGGGGTTTTTTAGTGACATCATGGACTACCAAAATATGTGAGCATCACTTTTTTCTATTACACAAAAAATATTAGGGGGCCACTTCAGGAATTCTTACCCAGGTGGTTTTAATACTTCTCGTTATCATTTAACAGAATTTCAGTGTAGTCCTAAAATTTTATACTTCATAAACTTTTAAATGGGAAAATTATCTTATACACTGTGTATTTTTTTTTTATTTTAAAAAGTTGATAAAAACCTGTTTATGTTTTATAACTAGGATTAATTAAAATTTCAATTTTTTAACTTTTATAATTATTTTTAATTTTAATTTATAGTTTATTATATATTTGAACTGGTATAATTTTTATAAAATTTTTTTTCTTTTCAATTGATGTTTAATATTTTTTTATAAAATGATTGTATTCAATTAAAAGAAATTAATGTAAATCTATCAATTATTTGGATGTAATTTTAAACTTTATTAATAATTTATAACTTATTCAAATTGAATAGTAAGGAGAGAAAAGATGTAAAGGGAATAGTTTATGTAAGTGATGAGAGATTTGAAAAAACTGTCGTTGCTTGTTTTTTTTTTTTTTTTCTTTGAAGGATGTATGAAATCTTACGATGTATTTGACCAAGAAACCTTTTCCTACTTGAAGATTGAAAGGTATAGGTAGTGGGGCAAAGACCAGGAGAAACCGGGTCATACCGGGCCAGGAACCAGTGACACTGGAGCATCGCCCACCCTGAGCCACCCTTTACAAACTGGGTCACCTTTCACCCTTGTTTCATTCTCTCTCTCTCTTCCCTAAACTTTCCCTCCCATCTCCATTTATTCGGATCACTGTTCTCCCACCTTTCGTCCTTGTTCATCGTCCTGTTCGATCATTATGTTTTTTTTTTTTTTTATTTTTTTTTTTTGGCGAGTCAATCTGCAGGATTCAGCGACACGAATTCCCAAGAGAGAATCAGTACATTTGCAGATGGTTGACTCTATCGATTTGTCAGTGACTTTTTACGTAACCAGTCAATTGGCAAATAATTTTGTGAATTTCATGCGCGAGAGCCAAACCTGACGAAAATTACTCAACTGTAAGCGAAAAAGAACAATTTGATCATTTCACTGCAATGTTAACTTGTGAAAAAAGAGGTCTTTTGATACTATTTGTAATGCCAACAAATTATTGTCCTGCAATTTTTTTTTTCTATACACAGGAAAAAATTCTTTTTTTAATCAGCAAAACGATTTTTTTTGTTTTTCTTTTGTTTTTCATTTTTTAGTTTTAAAAGAAAAAAAATTGTTTATATTGTTAAAAATTAATTTTTCTCGAATAATTTTTTTTTAACTTTAGAAAATTTTGTTATAGACATAGAACAAATGTCAATAGTTATTAGAATTCTCTCTAAATTTGAATTAGTGAAAAGTGAGATACTAATTAACATTAGTATGAATTTTTACTAATTTTTAGTAAAATATTACTATTTGATTTAGTAGGTTTAAATTTTTTTCCTAATGTTTTAGTAAAAAGTGACTAATAATTATTGAAAATTCTTACTAATTATTATAATTAGTAGCTCACTTTTCTCTAATTCAGATTTACAGAGTTTAATACATCGAAAAAAAGTTGTACCTAATTTGAAAATGCAATATGGTGTCAAGTTCAAAAATATTATAATTCTAAGATTTACTTTTTAATTTTCAATATTTTTTTTTAACAATATCAAACGGATTTTACATATTTCTAAACACACTAATTTAAAAGTATCAAATTTATACAAAATGTATCAAATTGATCCAAATTTTTTTATGAATTTGATATTTTTGGTATCAATTTAATACTCTCAAGTTTGTGTGAAATCATAAAAAAAGGAGTATAAAATTTTTTTTATTTTTTTTTAAGTGAAAATTTATTAAAATATTATTTTATCCTCAGTTTTTATTTTTCATATGAATGTCAAATTATTTTTTTTTACTTTTTATATTACCTTCTCTTTCTTTTGAAATTTTTTATACACTTGCAGGATCTTGATGAGAGAAAATCTAAATAAATTTTTTTTATCCTGGGCATAATCAGACATTTTTATATTTATTCGTTGTTTAGTCAAACAGAGTTTCTCTTTTGAAAAAAAAGATTTTTGATGAAGAAATATTTGTAAAATTTTCATTTTCTTAAAGAAAAGTTTAATTTGACAGAAGCATATTTTTCTGTTCAAAATCAACATTTTTAATCGAAGTCTTGCTAAAATGGATTTTTCAAAATGGAAATAAAACCAGATATCTAATATATAACAATTGAAGTCTTACTAAGTCGGATTTTTCTACTTCGACTACAATTTCAAAAATTTATGATCTTTAAAAGTAGGATTTATCTGAAATCTTCAGATATTTAGTGTCAGACTAAATCAGATTTTTCTACTTGAATAAAAATGTAATAAATATAATACCAAATTTTCAATTTTTTTTTTATTTAGACAAAAAGTTTTAATATTTCAAATCTGTATTTTTTTAAGTTTTCTGCGTTACATTTTATTCTTCTAAGTTATCATATTTTTAATATAAGAATAATATCCTTCAAATGAGAATAATATTCCTTTAACAATATGTGAATAAGACTAGGGGAGACCGAAGAGGAAAGTAACAAAGGTTATAACTTTTAAAAAAATTATCGGATAGACAATTTTTTTGTTAAAATTTGCAAGCCAACATTTTAAAATTTTTATTTTAAGTGATTTTTAATCTGAAAATTTCTATATTTATTAACTAAGTTTCTATTAGAATCAATAAATTCAAAAGCTTATAATCAAAATTTATTAAACAAATATAATGCAATAAAATAAAATTAAAAGAAATATTTCATAACAACTCTTGTATTACGTTTGTGTAAATTTTAGACGCTTATTTTTACGATTTAAAGATTCGACCACCATATTGGATTCGCCATTTTGAATTTTGAAAACCCAACATCAAATTAGTAATCAGCAACCCCAAAAACCTTCAAGTAACAAGTTTCAAGTGAATTCGATGAACTGTTTTAAATTTCGATCGCCATATTGAATCCGTCATTTTAAATTTTGAAAATCTGACATCATATTCGTAATCAGCGACCCCAAAAACCCCTAAGTAACAACTTTCAAATGAATTGGTGAATTTTTATAAATTTCGACCGCCATATTGGATCCGCCATTTTGAATTTTGAAAAGTCGGACGGTGTTATCTGTCTTTAAGTTGTGCTAATAATTTTTTAATAAATGTTTTAACACTTTTGTGTATTTTTAACTTGTTTGTTGACATGCAAGAAAAAAGCGACCGTGGAGGAAAGTAACACATTGTTACTTTCCTCCTCGTGTCGATATTGTGCACGTTTTAACTAATGATTGAAGCAAATCGTATTTAATTTTATGAAAATAGTTTTTTTTTTAATTACTAACGATTCATGGTGTGCAAAAAGTAGTCACTGTTTTTACAGATTAACGTAACCTAACAATCAGAATTGTTTATTTTAGAATTAATAAATAAGAATTAAATTAAATGTAAGTATTTATTATAAATCTAAATAAAAATTAATGGATACAATGTTTAGTGTGCAAATTATGGGCAAACGAAGCTTGTACTGCTGGTGAAACTAACTATGTTTGTCATAATTGTTAATTAGTATTTTTAACTTTATTACTTTACACTATGTTTTTTAATGTTTTAATGCTTTATTGTTCCAATTTGTTAAAAACTATTAAACAGAGATTTATTTGAGAAAAATCTGTAATCTAGGTAAGCATAAAATATCTTTAAAAAAAATGAGCCAAATTCACAAAATGTTTTAAATATGTGCCAAATAAGTATAAAGTGTACTTAAACTTTTATGTGTTCATAATAAAAATATTTCTAATTAATAATAGTCTTTAGTCTAAAGAATTTTACATAATTTTATACTGTTACTTTCCTCCTAGTTTGTGAAAATGAAATTTTTTGTAGCTTTCTATATTACCGACTGGTTAAAGATTTAACTACATGTTAGTACAGCGCTGACAGTATTTTAATTTTTCTTTTTGCAGATTCTATTCTCGATGGCTTGTGGTGTCATGTATTTCAAAGATAAGGACAAAAGTAAAAAAGGGTATCTTGAAGGACACAGAATTCTCCATATTGCAAACTTTTTAGAACTCGGTCTATTTTTACGGTTATTTTTCACATTTACTGAATGGAAATTTAATTTGAAAGTAGGGATCCATCGAGGGCTATTTAGTTTGAAAGAATCTCCTTGAAGCTGAAAATTCGACATTAAGGTAAATGTTTTAATTTATTGGGAAAATTTTATTACAAAAAATTTAGTTGTATTTTTTGACGTGACAACGTCTTACTCTGAGGTTTAGGGAGTCAGTTAGAAAAATTTGCATTTATATCGACGGCCAGAACTCGAAAACCATAAGTTATATTTTCAAGATTTTTGTGTTATTCGATTAAAAATTTCCGTGTAATGAATATAGACCCCGCTTTAATTTTTTAATTTATGAATTGTCTCTTATTGTAAGAATATTAGATATTCTGACTGTAAGAATAAAATGGATTAATTATTCTTAAATTAAGAATATCGTTTTGTCAATGATTTTTAGACTCACTATATCACACGAAAAAAAATAGAATTTTTACCCCAAAATCGGTATAAAAATTTTCTGTGTATAAAAAAGAAATTTAATAAGGTCAAAAAAATTCTACCAGGCCCATATTGAGTTGTTTTTCTTTTGCACAAGGAATAATTAGAATACCCGTTCACGAATCCTGTGGGTGGTAATTAAATTTCTTTCGAGCCTTTATTGTTATCTCTGTTGGTGATCGATGCACCGTCTCTTTAAATTGAACAATACACGTGGCATATAGCAAGTTATAAAGTCTTTTTGTTCAACAAATGTATTGCTTCCCTCATGAAATCGTGACAAAATAACAAAACTCAAAAGTGCTTTTAATTTTTATTAATTAGGGAGCGTTCACAAATGATGTCATTCAATTTTTCAAGATTTTTTACCCTTACCTCCCACACCTATTAATTTTTATAGTGCTTAAAAAATGGTCTTTTTTAATATGCTACACTGATGGAAACTCGAAATGAATGTACAATAAATATTGACTCAATGTGTTGGGAAAACTATTTTCTGCTTGAGCACAGGTGAAATTACGTCGACATAGTTTATCAGTCTTCTCACGTTCATGTGTAATCCATATATATATATATATATATATATATATATAGTCATTCTGTGATATACATATGATTAGTTCAGTTCATTTATAATCTTAATCGTGCTTGACATAAAATTTTGAAATTTCTCCACTATAAAATTTATTAACTATTGTCATGGTTGAATTTTAATTAGATTTCACGTTACACGTGTGCAAACTTTTCATTTATTAATTTACTTCAATTTTAAATATATGTGCATATTTTTTCGTATATTTTATATATATATATATATATATATAATAATAAATTAAATTTTATTCTTATATTTTTTATATTATTTTTGATAAAAATTTTTATCGAAATTGAAATAATAATTTTTTTTTTTTTAATTCAGAGAAATTTAAAAATGAATGAGCAATTTTGTATAAATGCAGATTTAGGAAGAGGTATTATTAACTCTTTAAGTACAACCATTTTAAGTATAACACCCTTTTGCTAATAGTAGTTTCACTGAGATTCGACTTCATTACTCTTAAATGCTGTTCGCAGAAAGTTTCACTTCAAAGTTCAAAACTTGATAATTAATTGTCGTTTTAGTGTTATTAGAAATGTTACTTTCAAACTTAAATTTTGGAAAGTACTTGTACAGACATGAAAAGTTTCAACTGAATTATAATAAATTTTTAGAAACATATATTAATTTATTATTACTTGCAGTTTTTTACTTATTTCTACTGCTTAAATTTTTGGTTGTTTTTTATTTGAAGCATTCGTTTAAAATTGCAAGCAAGACTTTGAAAACAAGTTCTAGCGCATAAAGACAATAAAGAGAGAAAACAATTTATATCAGGGTCCTCAAGATACATAAAATTATTTACTGGAAGAGAGAGAGAAATATAATATGTGTGTGTTTTGTGGAATAAATGCACAGAAAAAACCTGAATTCAAATTGAGTATAGATTCTATACTCAATTTGATTCGCAACAAAAATGAAACTGGTTGTCTCATTTCGAGTTCTAAGGTAAAAGTATCAAAATGAAACAGGCAAGTTTCATTTTGAGAAAAAGAAAAATGGAAAAATATTGTGAAATAACGAATAATTTTGCACAAAAACATGAAATATAATAATTACAAAGAAGTAAATAACACGCTAGACTTAATATATTTGATTAAAAATTGCTTGTAATCGCGTAATAAAATAATAAAGGAAATATGTTTTTAGGTTAGAAAAATGAAAACATGTGTTTTGACAACAGGAACGGTACTGCCAACTTAAATAATAGCGGTAAATTTAAAAACTTATGAAATTAATTATTATCTACGTAAATAATAATAAATAATTTTTATTTAAAAACTTCTAAATATTCGTACTGGTCAAAATAATCTTTCTGGTGTTGTTGAAATATTAGAAACAATAATTGAAATACAAAATTACTCTGCTTATGATGCCAACTTAGAAATCTGAAATTCTAGCCAATATCATTTTGAATAACATGAAGTTTGTCCCATACTCATTTCGATACCCAAAAGAAAATGAGTTGCAACAAAAATGAGTCCAAGTTTTTTCTGTGTGATGTGGGAATATTGGAATGGAATACTTTGTTATTACATTCTCATCATAATGAGAAAGTATTACATTTGCCCGTTGATTTTCGTTACTGACAGATTTTTTTAAATTTAAAAATTATGAGACAAAACTTTTCCATTGTTATTTCAAATTTAACTACTACGTTCGTATGATAATAATGTATCTAAATTTTAATTTCTTTATTTTTTTTCTCTAAATCTGAATTATTCAAAAGTAAATCACTAATTCAATTTTTTAGTAAAATATTACTATTTGATTAAGTATGGTTGTAATTTTTTTGTTTACTAAAGTTTTAGTAAAACATTATTAAAAATTAGTGGAAATTCTTCCTTAATATGAATTAGTGGCCCACATTCTAACGAAATTATTTTTTAGGCTTGTCTAAAAACTGTATATAGGATCTTAAATAACATAATATATTAAAAAACTTATGTTATATAATTTGACACCATAATTTCTTATGCATCATGAAATGCCATTAATATATGAACCAGCACATCTTTCACTAATTACTCAAATAATTTCTTGTGAAATTGAAAGGCGTACAGCTCATATTATATTTAGCTTTTCACTTAATGGAAAATGTACGCTGTCACAGGGAACGCTTCATTATTCATTTGCTACAAATTTTTAAAAAATGACATCCTTCAATTCATTAGGTAACTGACGCACTTATCATGAAATTTTTAAACCAATTAAAATAAAAATTTATAGGTACATAAGAATTATCTACAATTAACCAAAATTACAGAATAAAATAAAAAAATTTGAAAATTCTTCTTAATGACCCCGAAAAGCCCCGAGTAGAGAATTTCAAATGTATTCGAACGATTCTTGAAAAAAAAGTCCGCCATATTGGATCCATTATTTTGAATTTTGAAAAACTGAAACCCGATTCGTAATCGGCGACCACAAAAACCCCCGAGTAACCGGTTTCAAGTCAATTTTTTTTTTTTTTTTTTGATTAGGAAAAATGTTGTATATTGATAATGGGACAAAAAAAGGAAAATGGCGATTATTTAAAAAATTTAACTCGATCTTAAAAAACGGCTAACGCCATTGAATTCAGCGTACCCAAAATTAGTGTTAATTGGAGTTGGCCATGCGGGAGAGATGGCCAATTTAAATATTTTATAGAATTTGCTGCTAGGTATCGCTTATTAAAGATTAGTTCGCTTTGTTTTGTGGAAAAAAACACAATTAAAAGAAAAAACTTGACGAAAAATATTGAAAAAGTATGTAAAAATCTGATTTGTTATTTTGACTAGTTCGGAAAGAAAGTGATGAGTTTACGTTACTCACTGGTGTTATGTTATTTTATAGAATAATTTTGAATTTCATGTTTTTTTGTAAAGTAGATGACCCAAGCATTGTCATAACTTTATATTTATTCCTAAAATTTATTTATTTATTTAAATTTTAGTTGTGTCAATTTGTCTCCTGACATTACGAGAGATGGCCATGTTTTTTCGAGGTGAGATGGCCATACTGTTTAAGTTATTGGCACCCTTGAGATTTGTGTGTTCGCTAAAAAAAACATTAATTCTGTGGCAAATGACATTTTTTATGACATATATTACAACAAGACACTCCAACAAAGATTTTCAAATTTAAATATGATCAAATAAAATAATCACTATTGTGTAATTAAATGTTAAAAACGTTTATAAATAATCATAACACAGGTCCACAAAATAAGACTTTTTTATATATACATACACAGAAAAAACTTGGACTCATTTTTGTTGCAACTCATTTTCTTTTGGGTATCGAAATGAGTATGGGACAAACTTCATGTTATTCAAAATGATATTGGCTGGAATTTCAGATTTCTAAGTTGGCATCATAAGCAGAGTAATTTTGTATTTCAATTATTGTTTCTAATATTTCAACAACACCAGAAAGATTATTTTGACCAGTACGAATATTTAGAAGTTTTTAAATAAAAATTATTTATTATTATTTACGTAGATAATAATTAATTTCATAAGTTTTTAAATTTACCGCTATTATTTAAGTTGGCAGTACCGTTCCTGTTGTCAAAACACATGTTTTCATTTTTCTAACCTAAAAACATATTTCCTTTATTATTTTATTACGCGATTACAAGCAATTTTTAATCAAATATATTAAGTCTAGCGTGTTATTTACTTCTTTGTAATTATTATATTTCATGTTTTTGTGCAAAATTATTCGTTATTTCACAATATTTTTCCATTTTTCTTTTTCTCAAAATGAAACTTGCCTGTTTCATTTTGATACTTTTACCTTAGAACTCGAAATGAGACAACCAGTTTCATTTTTGTTGCGAATCAAATTGAGTATAGAATCTATACTCAATTTGAATTCAGGTTTTTTCTGTGTAGCGGAGTGGTTTCCAATGTATTTTTGTGTGCTGAACCCGATTCCGGGTTCCAAAATTGCGTATCACATCAGGATTTTGAATACAGTGGAGGTAAAGCTTGGATCGTACGCTTTAAGACTCATTTACACAGGATTAAAAAAATTTTTAATTTTGA